CTGGATTCTGTGAGGATGCTGGAAAGGCCACATCCCAGGCAGTCCGTGGGTAACATATGCCAGAGGGGAGGGCTGCAGGACTGGGGGTGATGGGAATGCCATTCACAGAAACACAGAAGACTTGTGGCCACTGCTAGGTCTGGGAAGTACTGGGGAACAGATGGGAACTGGCCTGCCAGGGCCCAGTTCAGAATCCTCAGGTGTAGAACAGGTGTTCCTTGTTCTTTTATATAAGGCAAGATGGACAGAGAGGAGGTGGGGGTGAGAGGGTGGTCTGTGTTGACATTGTGGGGGGAAAACCTGAAAGACTATGAAGGTTTCGTTTGGACTTCATTCCTTCTCTCCCTCCCTCCCTCCCTTCTTTCCTTCCTTCCTTCCTTCCCCCTTCCCAGGACCTCCTTCTGTCACCCACACTAGAGTACAGTGGTGTGATCATATCTCATAGCAACCTCAAACTCCTGGGCTTGAGCAATCCTCCTGCCTCAGCCTCCCAGGTAGCTAAGGCTACAGGCACGAAACACTGGGCCTAGCTAATTTTTTTTCTTTTTTCTTTTCTTTTCTTTCTTTCTTTCTTTCTTTCTTTCTTTCTTTCTTTCTTTCTTTCTTTCTTTCTTTTTTTTTTTTTAGAGACAGGGTCTTACTGTGTTGTTCAGGTTTATCTCAAACTCCTGGCCCTAAGCAGTTCTCCTGCCTTGGCCTCCCAGAGTGCTGGGATTAGAGGCGTGAGCCACCTGCCTGGCCTCTCCCACCCTTTCTGTCTTCCTGACATGCATCGTGCTGACCTGTGACTGTTTCCCAATGTCTGAGAAGTGGTCATCTCCAGCCATGCTCACCTGGATTAGTCAGGAATAGTTACTCATTCCTGCTTAATCCTATAGTTAATCACCTTCCTGAGGGAGGTGAAATGCTGTGATGGGTTCGAGGAGTAATTTTGTAGAAGAACTCTGTTAAGGGCTCTCGGAAAAGATGGAAGCTGTTCTCTGAACTCCCCACCTCCAGCCAGCCTGCGCTCTGGGTGAGAGCAGTTACGCTCATTTCCCTTCTCTTCTTTCTAACCTGGGAAGAAATGTGTCCTCTGCATTGTTGAGGAGGCTGGATAAATGAGACAGACAGAGCAGGGCAGGTATGAGGAGGTGACGGAGTTGGCTGCCGAGGTCCCTTTGTGATCCATCTCTGCAGAAGCCAGCGTTAATTCCACGGAGACTCAGCAAGACTGATATCCAGCGGTGACAGTTTGGACATCTGAACACGACCTTGGATGTGCTCACAACCGCAGCTGAAACTGTGCCAGCTTCTCAGAGCACTATATCACAGGGGCCGCATAACCGTGCTGGAAACCGGCCGGGTTCGAGCGTCAGTGTATCTGCAGAGGAACCTCTTTGGTCCTGTGATGCGGCGTCCTGTGGCGGGACGGCTTCTGTTGAGTCCATTTTCAATAATTAAATGCTTACAAGGAAGCCCAGGACAGCCCTCTTGTATTTACTGGGAGTTTGTGAGATGCCCCCGGTGTGGCCATCAGAAACAATTATTCAAGCAGTGCCGTGTGGGCTGGTCAGCACTTCCTGCTCTGTGGCCATTCACCCGGTATCTGGTCAGATTTCAGCCTCGGGAAGAAAAAAAATGAAGGGCTCTGCCTTTGGCTTCCCAGAACATACTGGTTACAGGAACCTTCTCTCCTATAAAGTAATAGCAAATTGTTCCAGGCAAGGGTCATTTCCTAGTGCCCTTTCACTCTGCTGTTCTGCTCTCAGAAACCACATGTCTAAATTAGTGGTTCCCGCAGGTCTCAGGACCAGCAGCACGAGCACCTGCTGGGATTGTATCAGAAACGCAGATTCTCAGGCCTAGCCCAGCACCCGTGAGATCAGATGCTCTGGGGCTCAGCGCCCAGCACCTGTGGGATTGGACGCTCTGGGGCTCGGGGCCCAGGACCTGCAGGATGGGACACTCTGGGGCTCAGGGCCCAGCAATCCCCATTCGCTCAAGTCTTCCAAGTGATTATGGTGCAAGTTAGACTTGAGATCCACTGATTTAGATGTTATTTTGGGAGGCCCCATTAGGACACTCAAGAACACTGAATTTAAAAAAAACGATAAAACTGGGTGAATCCTGGTTCCACAGCTTACTATTTAGCGGGATCTTAGTCAGTGTGGATAGTGTTTCTTAGCCTCAGTGAAACCCATCTGTAAGTCAGCTATTACTGTTTTCTTATTATAATGAACCCTGCCAAGTTTCTGAGAAGGTAAAGTAATGCATATAATGGGTTTGTATAGTACCCGACATATAGTACGGTGTTCACTGAACATTGGCCTTGAACGTGAATTCCTCCAGTTCTACTCTGACCTCCCCAGCAGGTTATTAATATAAGCAATATCCCAGGGACATTACTAGCAAATCAAACTGAGAAGTGTGTTGTCCTTCTTGAAAGATTTCTTACCGACGTGGTTCCAGATCCACGTTTCAGGAGCGGCAGCCTAGATGATGATGATCAGGTCTGTGGGGAGTGGAGGGGCAGGTGGGCATCAGGCGAGCCGCCATCGGCTGCTCTTCCTCCCGTTCATGCTCACAGTCTATTCTGGACATTGTCATCAAAGCCAGAAAGGAAAGCTTAGAATACACTCTGGGCCTATCTGACCCTGCGCACTCAGGTACCTGGAGATATTATTCAAATGGAGATCCAGGGGCCTTCCCGTTCGGGTCCCTGCCAGAGGTTCTCTTCCCCTCTTTTCATTTATCTATCTATATTATCTTTCAATAAATTCCATCCTTTAATGGAGATTCCAATTCTTTACGTCTGAGATGAGGCCTGAAACTCTGAATTTTCAACAAGGTCTCACCAAGTGACAAGGATGCTGCTGGCTTTTTGACCCCACTTTTGCACAACAGGTGCCAGGCCACTGTTAACGTATATGACACTCACCATGCAAGGAGTGGTCCAAGGGCCATCAGCACTGTCATCATCTCAGAGCTGGCTAAAAATACAGACTCTCAGGTTACAGCCCACACCTGCTGAATCAGCCTCTGCTTTGGGGCAACACCCCTATGTCACTCATAGGCAGAGTAAAGCCAGAGGTACATTCAAAACTGGCTTCCTGGCTTTGTTTATTTACATGGGAACCTATCCTTGGTTTAATGCTCTGCTCTCACCATCTTGAGATTCTTGTTAATTCTAGAACAAAGGATGTTTGTATTTTTCACTGGGCCCTATAAATGATTTAGCTGGTCCTGGAAACACCCCTGTACACCAGTGGTTTTCAAACTTTAGTGTGTGTATCACCCAACTAGGATATTGTTACAAATTAATATTTTGAGGTTTCCCAAAGATTCTGAAAGAGTAGGATGGGGATGGGTGAGACTCAGAGTCTGTAACAAATCACTCATGGGATTCTAATGTAAGTGGCCCATGCTCACTGTGACAAGTAGTCCCCTGATTTTTCTCTGGTTAGGTCTTTCATCATTTTCATGCTGTGTCTGAGTGATGCCATAGAGACCCTGCGTCTCTCCTGAATTGCCAGAAAATATAATAAGCCGCTCAAAACTTACTGGACACCAGAGCAAAGGTGTTTCTGGTTGGGTAGTTTCCCCACAGGAGCTCTCTGCAAAGCATCCGCCTGTGCCCAAGTGTCCCTGCAGTGATGCTCTGACATTTGCGCAAATATAAAGCAGGAGGGACGCACACTCAGATGTCTCATCTGGACAGGGACTGTTTGAGGAAGCAGGTGTGTGCAGTAGCAGTTACTATACAGTCAGGGACCATTTTGAGACTCCAGTAGAAGCAATTGCACAACGCTCCCTGAAAAAATTCACCTTTGCACCTTCTGAGATGCACTTAGGACCAGGAATTAGAAGACCAGGCTGAGAGCTCCAACATTAGCACTTTTTAGCTCTCTTGGACAAGTCACCAGATCACTTGGAGCCCCAGAGCCCTGATCTTTAATGTAAACAATAGGTAAGAGCCTCTCCCTCACAGATTTATTGCAAAAATCAAATGCGACAGTGAGAATGTAACAGTGCATCGTTCACTGCAGGAGAGCGTGTGCATTTGAAGCATCGTTCTCCGTGCCGTGCTATTTTGCTATTTCTGGCATTGTAGTCAGGCGCAGGACACTGTGTTTGTGAATTTAGCCCAAGGCCATGGAACATACTTGGTGGAGAGAGAGAAGGAAATGAACACAGACAGAAAGATGTGATGAGGACTTGGCAAGAGTTGCTGAGAAATTTGAAAGTGTAGAAAAGAGAGGAGCTTCCACAATCTGAGGGCTCCAGATGCAAAAATAAAATAAAAAGAAAGTCTATTTTTACACATGCAGTTTTGAGATTTCAGAAAATGCCTTTAGTCTAGCAGTCGCTGTACGTTCTGCCCCTGGGTGTAGTGATGATAAATAGTGATGGTGGTTGTCCATATTCGGTTTCCACTTCAGAAGCCTCCTGTCGGAATTCGCTATCCCAAGATGAGGAGAATGGATGGTTAGCAGTTAAGAGTGGGGTCTCTGATCTAGCACACATTAACTCTGTGACTCGGAGGGTTATTTAATCTCTCAGTTCTTCAGTTCCTTTTCCAATAGAACGTTCCTCATAGAGTTGTTACAAATGTCGAATGACTTAGTACACCCCACATACCTAGAAGGAGATGTGATAGATTATCCATATCGTGGGAATCTTTTAGCAGAGGGACCCAGCAGTATTCGACGGGCTGATGCTTCCAGGTTACTCCTGGGGAGTTATTTGAAGTCGTCCTGAGCCTGCAAATGGTTTCAGAAGCACTGACCTGCTCATGACGCAGAGGTCTGAGATAGTCAGCATTCTGAGGCTATAATCCTGTAAGCCACTGCTGGGTCCAGAAAGCCACAGCTGACAGATCAACCAAGTAAAGGTGTGTGTGGGATGAAGGAGAGACAGGTGTGGTGACAAGACACCTTAGCCTATGCAGGAGGACTCTGCTCCAGTACCTCCCGTCTTTTCTCCGGTCCCTTGATCCTTCTGTCTGTTCTTCCCTTCAGGTGCACGATTGACAACCGGGTCACCCGGGTGGCCTGGCTAAACCGCAGCACCATCCTCTATGCTGGGAATGACAAGTGGTGCCTGGATCCTCGTGTGGTCCTCCTGAGCAACACCCAGACCCAGTACAGCATTGAGATCCAGAATGTGGATGTGTATGACGAGGGCCCGTACACCTGCTCCGTGCAGACAGACAACCACCCCAAGACCTCACGGGTCCACCTCATCGTACAAGGTAGGCGGTGGGAGGCCTGGCTGAAGGGCCAGCTGGGAAAGGCTGTGTTATGGAACTTTTCTTTGTGGTTGTCGTGTTGCAGTTAGAGGCTGAATTTTCCAATTAGGGACCAGGATTTTTTGTTAGCTTTTGTTACAATAATATGTTTTCTCAAAATGTTCCTTTAATTATTGCTTTCCTTGGCATTTTTGTCCCTTAATCCTTTTTTTTTCTTTTTAAGATTTCATCCAACTCCAAGATTGCTTTAGTTTAAGACAGGCATTTTCTTTTTCTTTTCGTTTATTTTTTTGCAGTTTTTGGCTGGGGCTGGGTTTGAACTCACCACCTTTGGCATATGGGGCCAGTGCCCTACGCCTTTGAGCCATAGGCGCCGCCCGAGACAGGCTTTTTCATGCACCCTTTGCAGTACACATATGTCATGCCCTAGCCCAGCCTTGAAAGAAAGCAGCACCAACTAGAATGTTCTGGGCACTTCCCCCAGCTAAAACTTTCAGAAGCCCCCCTTATATCCAGCACCCTGGTACTTCTCTCACCTTCTAGCCCAGGGTTTTGGATACCACCCCTCCACTTCCATAGCTGCGTCTGGTGCTCCCTGTGCTATTTGCACCCCAATTCTCACTGCTACTTGTGTACCCCACAAGCCCAGCTCCTGAGGCCGTGTATTTGCTTACTTTGATTTTTGTGTTTTTCTTTGTTCTGCTGTCTTGTTTCTCAGCCTCTGGGAATGGTGCTCACTTCTTCCCAGCAAGCAGAACTGGTCCTGGGGGCATTCAGACACATTTAACTGGCTGACCCTCCCTAGGTAGTGAATGGGAGCTTAGACTCAGACCTGACTGCATTCTAGCTGAGAGAATTTAAGTTATTTCTGTGCCCTGGGGTTCTCTGTCTGTAAGATGGGGACAGTGTGGGGATTGAATGTTACACATACTAACACATATCACACCCAGAAGAGGGTCTGCCTCGTAGAAGTGACATTCAGATGTTAGCTATTGGGTTTTCCTCTCTCTCCTTCTCTCTCAGGACTGCTGATATATTTTAACTTTATTTAAACACCTTTTAGCAGTGGACCAAATGCCTCAGAAGCATAAGCCAGGCCCACAGCTAGACCTTCCTCCCTGAACTGCTTCCAAGTTCCCTTCATCCCTGCATGGCAGGCCTAGGGCACTAACCTCTTGTTCTGGGGGCTCCCTCGCTGGCCCCATATCAGCATGTTCATGAAATCGCCAGGATTATAACAGTGGGTCCTCAAAGTCTCTCATGTGGTGGCAAAGCTGGTCATAAGTATTTATTTATTTACTTACTTACTTAAAGACAGAGTCTCACTCTGTCATCCTGGGTAGAGTGTTGTGACATCATAGCTCACAGCAACCACAAACTCTTGGGCTCAACCGACCCTCCTGTCTTAGCCTTTCAAGTAGCTGGGATTAAAGCCATCTGCCACAAAGCCCACCTACTTTTTCTATTTTTAGTAGAGACAGGGTCCCGCTCTTTCTTAGGCTGATCTCAAACTCCTGAGATCAAGCAACTCACCCAGCTCAGCTTCCCAGAGTGCTGAGATTGCAGACATGAGCCACCATGCCTGGCTACACCAAGTATTTATTTATTTTTTTCCATGTGTACATTAATGCATTTATGGGGTCCAATGTGCTGATTTCATATAGAATTAGGAACGCTTACATCACACTGGTTAATATATACCTCATCTCATTTAATTAATTATTATTTTAGGACATTTATACTCTATACTTACTAGATCCAACATGTACCCTTGCATTATGCACCATAGGTGTGATTTTTTTATTTTTGCTTACTCTTTCTTCCTCGAAGAAAATTATGATGGTTTTTTTTTTATTGGGTCTATAAATGAGTATTTTTCAAACTGATGTGCACAAATTGCATTTTTAAGGGAAATAGAATTGCACAGAAGGTATCAGAATGTATTACAAATAGCAGAGAAAGTCTTGCTATATGAGATATTTTTTAAAGTGTATACATTTTTAATGTAAAATGCATTTTCTACTGTAGATGAGAAGACAAAAAAAAAAAAAGAAAGAAAAACGCATGAGAGTCCCCATTCTCTGGGAAGGTCTGGTGAATGGCCCAGTAGACCGTCCACGCTCTGTGCTGGGAGGTAGGGGGCACTCTTGAGGCCTCCCCTCCTGCTCCCCCAAAATCCACACCCACACCTACCCTATGCAAGCTGGTTGTTGAGAGCAGAATATATAGCAATAATGATGAAGGACTAGGAACCAAGAATTATTACAGACATTTGCTTTAGCGAGTGGGGCCTTCATGGAATTAAAAAATGGGAGGAATTGTGAAAATACTTCCTTGAAAACAAGAACCATGCTTTTGTTATTTTTTTTATAAGCCAACCTCCCCTCCCCCAAAAAGCCCACATGCCCCTGCCATAAACACCTGGCAAAGTCCCTTCTACAAAGTGAACATTTAATAAATTTTTATTGACATGAATGGTTGGGATTAGAGCCCAGCACAGAGATTTTACTCCGAGAGAGAAGGTTGGGTTGCATATTCGTGAGGGTGGGTAATGGGAGGGGTGAGAGGATGGAGTCTACACCAATCTTCCCTCGTGTCCAAGCTAATGGAAAATGTCTAATCCCCAGCTAGGTGTTTACATCTGTGACTTGCCTAGGTGCCCTCTTAGCATGACACACCATCTCAAGTATTGGAATCTCATCTTGGGCTAATTTTCGAATGCTGATGGGTGTATTGATCTGGAAACAAGCTGGGTTAAAAAAGGCATTGGTCTTGTACACAGACTCAGCCCAAGCTAATCCTCTGTCGATATGCCTGGCCTGAGTATTATTGACACTTTAATGAATAGAGGACCACAGTTTTTTCAGGGCCAACCTGACCCCCTCTTCTAAGCAGTCAGACAAACTAAATAGAGCCAAACGCCTCTGTTTCTGTATTGGAAGGTAGATACACCACCCTCCTGAATTAAAAAAAGAAATAAGTTTATCTTGGGATCGTTTATTATACTGAACATAAACCCGAAGTCCCCTAGCGGAACTGGCTGTCTGGATTTGAAGTTGCTGTTCAACCCTGAGCAGAATGCTGCCGGAATAAAGTTTAGGCATATTAAGTTTTCAAAATGGCATTATGATCATTCTAAAAAAAAAAAAGAAATAAAAACAGTAACAACGAAAGGAACTAAATTCAGCCTGTGAGCGTGTGTGCTTCTGTGTATATAGTCAGCTTCATGTATAAATAAACCCACACAGATGGAAAGGAAGGGCATTTTCACAGTCTTGTGCAGGCTGCTCCAGGTCTGGGGGGTGCCCGTCCCTTTGCTATAAAATATCCTATTGAATTCCCAGCGGGTTGCACTGGCCTTCTTCTCTTCTCTGGTTGCTATTCAGCATGTTCAGTTCTTCTATCAGACGTGATTCCTGGGGCATCACACTAGGCAAGCTAGGAGCAAGGGCCACCCCTGGGGAGGAGGGCGGCGGAGGAGATGGCCGTGTGTAGGCGGTGGGACAAGAGAACTGAGCTAAGTAGCTGCTTGCTGGAGTGTCTATTTAGAAGTAAATTCAAGTTAGCTAGAAACAAATAAAATAAAGAATCGCCACATTCACACCAGCCATGTTCCAGTGCTTTGATAGTCACATGTGACCAGAGGGTCCTGTGTTTGTGTGTTTCCTGTTGTCATAAAGGAAGACCTGAGCTGGGTAATTTATAGAGAAAAGAGGCTTATTTGGCTCACAGTTCAGCCATCTGTAGGAGGAGCCTGGCTCCAACATCTGCTTCTGGGGAGGGCTTTAGGCTGCTTCCACTCAAAGCGGAAGGTGAAGGGGACCCAGTGTGTGGAGAGATCGCCTGGTGAGGGGGACAAGGGATGGAGGGGAGGTGCCAGGCTCAGAGTGAGAACTCATCCCCCCCCCCCATGCACTAATCTATTCATGAGGGCTCCACCTCTGTCACCCAAATATCTCTTCCATTAGCCCTCCAATATTGGGGCTCGGTTTTCACCATGAGGTTTATAAGGACAGACACTCAGACTATGGCATTCCTGTATTGGACAGGTCAGTAGTAGACCACGTATGTAAACTTGCATCACAGACAGCTCTACTGGGCCGTGGTGTAAGTGGTTACCACTAAGGAACAGTAGGTGTTAGAGCTGGAAGGGTTGTCCTTGACTTGAAGGTCCAGGTATGATGTGAACAGCAGAATGGAGTTTTGGAAAGAAGATGGAAATTGAAAAAAAAAAAAAAAGAAGAAAAGAAAGAAAAAAGAAAGATAGTGTTTGTTTAAAAACAAGAAAAAAATTGTTGAAAAATTGGAGCAATGGAGTTCATATGCTAGCTAGGACAGAGAATAAAGTTGAGAGTCCAGACATACATTTGAAGGAGAGTGGGCAGAGTTCAGGGATGGGTTAGTGTGTGTGGAGGGGAGATGAATCCCCCAGGGTGCTGAGATTTCTACCCGGGGGCCCAGGCAGCAGGAGAAGGAGTCAGGTGGAGGTTGGTACCCACATTATCTAAAGTATCCTGTGGTAAAATTGATTCTTCAGTAGAAGTGAGTTCAGAAACTTGAACTTCTTGACTTTGAGATACCTGGAACATTCCATTTAGAATGGAGTGAAAAGTGAGTGAACCACCCATGGATTTGCATGTCCACTTAGGCAACCACGACGTGATCTTTGGGGCCAGAGTGAAGAAGCATCATCTAAGATTTACTAAAATTTGAATCTAATCCTTTCCATCCCTTTGACCTTAGGGTTTTCTGCTTTATGAGTGTAATTAATAGGTGGCTGCTTCTAGAGTCCAGCTGAATATTTTAGCCTTTTTAATCCTGCCACCACTGAGCCAAGCTTCTTTTGTATCTAAAAGGTCCATACCCCTGTCTCCATTGTTACCTGGGACAAGGCCACTTCTTGGAAAGCACAGGGTGGCTAAAGCACTCAGTGGGACTGAATTATTTGTCAAATTAAGGAAAGCCATCCTTCTCAAATTAAGGGAAGCCATCTCAGAAGCTCT